GAAAAAATCCCAACTTAGTCTAGCTTAGAAATAAAATTCACACTTGGGCATTTTTAATTTTTTGGTGAAAATTGTTTCAGAAAAAAAAAAAGAAAGAAAGAAAGAAAGAAAAAGAAAGTATTCTTAGGAACCAGAAGTCCACAGTAAAGGTCTCCAGTGACTTTCCAACTCTTTCAGACCTTTGGAGAAGAATATTTAAGGGAAGTGTCAGCCAGTGTTGTCGGTGCAATATGAGAACAAGTGGGCTGCAAGGATTCCATCCACCCCTTCCCCTCACAGCAGTTTATCCATGTGGCCTCACATGCTCCTACACAGCAGGGCTGCTGTTTTCCAAGAATAACCCATGTCTTCACTTAACAGCCTCTTAAAGAAGCCTGCTTTGCCCAGTCCTCTCCCAGCATCTCAGCTCAAGCATCACGTACAACTCATCTCTTCCGAGCACACCACTGTTAATACTCAGACCTGAAGTGCAAACAGAGGAGACTGCATTTAGCCAGGGAAGGCTTAAGATCCCAGCTATGCTTCCAGGCAGAGGTCCCAAGGCACACGCCCTTGATGCCAAATACATGCTGTGCTTTGCCTGTTCGTTTCCACTATTGTTTCTCCCCCTGTTGAACACCATCCTGAGTCTGACAGTGACTCATATCAGCTTAATTCTAGCTCCAGAGGCAGGAATAATTTTATCCCCATCTGGAGCAACAACAGAGCACCACAATCCAAATGTTTTAAGGCATGCAGCAAAGAGCAATCACATTCACAGGAAACCACCTAGAAGGGTCAGCTAAGGACTGCATTCCCTCCGGCCCAAATTTTGCATGAATACAAGAACGAGACAAGCCTGTTCCCTTGGAAGATGTGACACAAATCTGTACATGATGGAAAGAAACAAGATCTGAAAACACATCATTAAGAATCCAGTAACAAGGGGTTTGCTTTGTTTCTTTTTTTTATTGTTTTTAAATAGAACTTTTTTTCTTTCCAGAAGTCATTATGTCTGACTCCATTAACATTCAGGTAAACAAGTGAAAGAACAACAGATGGGCATGATCTTGTAGCACGGGCACAGCCACTGGGAACAGGGCTTGCCTTTCCTTGCAGCAGCTGAACATCACTCTCCCTCCCTCTCCATACCACCATGGGCAATGGCTGGCAGCTGCTGTGGGACATTCC